AAACCACTTCACTACCGTTGCGTGGCGATGCTTTGCGGTTGCGCAGATGACGAGATGTCAGTTTGGAGGACAACTGCACCACCGGACGCACGCAGTACGATTTCGAAACAACGATAATGAAAGGCGACTTCAGTTTTTAAGTGAAGGGCGGCGTTTATAGGCGATCGGATGTTTTTATAGCAATCCGAAAGCAACGTCATCCGCGATTTACGAAACATTGGAGTGCAAACAAGTGGAACTGTCGGAATTCCCAAAAAAACCTTATTATCTCATTCGGATCCGTTGCAGGCTTCTATGGCCAGCAACACGAGATATTCGTCATGTAGAGGAAGTCGGGTGTATACAGTACCCCAAAAATTGCGTGTCAGGCGGGTCGTTCCCGGGTAACAGTTCCACCCGGATGTCGGAAGAAACGAAAACCGACAAGATCTACTGTGAATACTAGTGATAGAAGAGTAAAAGGGCTGGTCGAAGTTAGCTTCCCGACCAAGAGTCCTTGAATAGGCAGAGAAGTAGACACAGGAGGATAGCCTCTTCCTTCCCTATGGGTATTGTTCTGCCAAAGCCTGTGGTCTTACAGCGGTGGCTCACACAGGTAGAAAGACGGCGGAGGGTGTATAGGCAATGGCAATAGTTTAGTAGTTGAGTATGAGTGTGTGGGAGATGAGAGATTTAGCCCAACGCACACTTTAAGGGACCCAGTAGGACCAGGTGACTTTAAGGGACCCAGTAGGACCAGCTTTGCTGTAAGTTGGAGTAACTGAGCACTCTTTTGGATTTCAAACGTAATGGAGTGTGGGGCAGTCAGCTCACGGAGGCGTGGGAATACGGATAGGGCACGTCATCGGTGGGGGAGGGGGGAGCAAGAAGAGTTGGAGGCAGGACCGGCTTCACGACAATGAATGACTTCTGGGGCCGGAAAATCGGTAGATGAGAAATTCGATTCAAGTAAGCCAGGCTTGCATGCTCAGTGTTTTTCTTACAGTAATCGTGAGCGATGCCGGTGAGGTCGATGGGTTTAGTTTCTCCCCTCGATTGACAGAAAGAGTGTGATGGATAGTGGTGCCGGTCAGAAGGGGGCTGAGAGGATGCTCTCAAATGTCATCCTCATTATCTCAAACTTCATACTCTCCTAAATAGATCTCTGCTAGTCTGCCAGGATGCTCTCTCTATTTATAGATTCCCCATCAGTCCTTTTTCACCTCTTCATAAATCATCTTCCGTTCACGACGAAAGCGATTTCTATAGGGGAAACTCGTTTGTTCAATTGAAAAACTGCAACGCTGATCATTTACGGAACGTTTGCGAACGTTACGCAGTCGCCACCGCCCGAGTGAGTTCATTGCGTGCATAACGGACACGGTAAGGTGCCCTGTTGACGGCTGAAAGGCACACACCAATTTTGCGCCGAAGCTGTCAACGAACGAAATCACAAACAGACGGCGTCACGACATCAAATTCCAGTTTTTCCAGAAATCAAGCGAATTATGAAAAACTGAAAGCAATCAGGAAAGCGGTCTGACGGATGGAGGGGAAAGCTAAGCTCACATATCGACACCTCAGCTAAACAACTGGCAGATCGATTCTTACCAAAGCAGGGTAAACTCAAGGCCTTGGAGAAGATCTCCTTGGATAACTTTGTCTCAGGATACTTGTTAACCGCGGAGCCTCCCCCTTCCTTTTTATCCCTCCTTCCTCCTTTTCCTTCCTTCCTTATCTATTCCCTCTTCCTTTTCCTTCACCATTCAACTGCCGGACCACTGGATACGGCGAGAAAATATCTCTGGACCCTCGCAGCGATAGCATGTCCAGTTGACAGGAGCCCTTCAAACAGGTAACCTTCCTAGTACCTGCTGCAGATCCTAACATCATGTGAATCTGATGAACTACAGCAAATGCCATCGGGCTAAGAGGGTCGGTAATCTCAGCGGTCTCATGGTTAGTGCAAGCGCCAGGTAAACGTGGAGTCCAGGTTCGACTTCAGGCTGGAACAAATAGAGCCAGGGGGAAGATCATATTTGTCTTACGTTAGTCTGCCTTTGAAAGATGTGTTTCAGTCACTGACTCTTCTTAGCTTTTCCTGTTTCACGTGAGCTAGGATATATTGCTCCCCCCCCCCTTCGCTCGACAGCAGTTTCCTTTTTTTGGGAAAACTGAGGAATTGTGGAAAGAAATTTGGGAGTAACGGTAGAAAGTCGGGAGAATCAAGGAAGATGACTGGTAAGGCAGGATGGGTAAAGGAGTCGTACCAAAGGAGGAAATTCTGAGGTGGAAGGGTCGGATTTCGCGTGAATTCTTCCCGCAACAGCAGGACTTACTCGAGGAACAGAGCCTATACCCATAACCCAATATTCCAGCGATAGCGCTCTTCTAGTTTCCAAATCAGCAGAACCAATAGTAGTCCGAAAGGTTCGAAAGAGCTCTTGAGAAGACTTTTCCAGCGGGAGACTCTTCCGGAATAACCTCCCATTTGAACGGTTGAGCAGGAATACCAACCAGAGACTTTTCTTCTGAGTCTCAATGATCTGGTTCGAGCACAGCCTACCCCATGATGCTTTCAGACCTCCCTTGTTATTCGACACTTTAGCTTTTCCAGCAATGCGAATCGAACCTCATCTGTCGGGAGTATCGTTGAAATATGATCCCGAAGCGACCAACTAGCCAGCCGCATCATTTTCATCTCTTCAACTAATATTCACATATAATTATGTAGCGATTTGTTGTGCGGCTGTATAGCGCAAAGGCTTCAAACTGCCCCCCCCCTCCTCCCCACCCTCCACCTCTTTGGAGACCTATGAACTGACCCAGCGTCCAACCGCAAATGTAGGAGTGCTGACCAGAGAGAAAGAGAAATTGCTTAAGCTTTCAACAAATCAGATCGGCTGTAAGAAAACTTATCAAAGTAATTTACTAATTCTGGGAATATTGGGCGACAAAAACAACAATTATAGATAGCTCTGAGCTTTTAAAATTCCTTTTCATGCCCTGCTCTAGCCGATCAATTTTGCCGAATATATGGGGTGAGGGGACGGGAAGGGTAGGAGCGGTAGACCTCAAACAGCCATTTTCTCACTCAACCCGCATTTCTAAAGATTTGATCAGTCTCTCATGTGAGAATGCGCCACACACTCGGCAACCGCTAAAAATGGGATTCGCTTCTGATGCGCAACGAACAAACGATGGACACATTTGGATACCAGCAAAAATAATTATAATAATGATAAGTAGCAATAAAAACAGCAATGGCATTAAAAAATAATCGTCTCAGGTCAAATGGTTTCGATTTATCACTTGGAAGAGTTCAGCACAAAGTTTCTTAGATGGTGAAAAAAAGACGGTACCTGTGGGGAGATGTTGTGATCGTGAACCCGGACCAGAGTACCTTCAGACATCATGTGTAGAATAAATCGTGACATATTCGCTGGATGGCATCTAAAGATTACTCGAATGAAATGAATATGTCTTGGAATTCCGAATGAAAACAAACGAGGAAGAAAGAAAATGAAGAAAGTAAAAAAACAAAAAAAAATGTGAAGTTTAGCGCTCCTTGACATAGCGCGGGGGGGGTAGGGGGTAACTAGCACCTTTGCTAGTTCTTTTGCTGAATCATGTTGGTTACAAGAATTTACAGGTCTTCACAAGAGTGACCTGTACAAGCTCCGTTGAGGACCATTTGATGCCCCCACCAAGCCGAGCTGCGCCGAGAGTTATAGTCAAAATTACGGGAAAATGTAGGTGTGAAATACACTAGCATTCAAGGCGATTCAGATGCGTGAAAAACTTTTCAGCTTCTCGGATGGGAAATTTGCAAATTATATTATTTAAACTTCACAAAACCTTCTATTGCGAAAAATAATTCCTTGGAGTTCTGAGAGAAATCTTAAAAAAAGGTAGTGTAATAACTTATGTTGTGCTTGCCACCCCTAAGTAACCAAAAAATAATTGATTAAAAATACCTTTGCAGTTCGAGTGGCCTGGCATCGTGATCCAGTCTGAGGATTGTTCGCACTGGTTTCCCATCGGCCTTGGTCGTCACCTGAACGATCACAGTTCAATGAACCTTACTCACCTTCACCTGCTTAGCCACCTGTTTCATCGGGCAGCGATCCCCTTAACATTTTTGACTCGGAAAAATCTTACAAAAACATTAAAGAACAAAAAAATATTGGTTGAAAGTTAGAATTGCTTTGTCAGAGGGTGCGGTTCGGCTAGGTGGAGGGCACATGGTACTTCAATATGCCGTTAAGGCCTTATCAAGCTGAGGGCTGATACCATTTAAACGCTTGGAGGGCCTGTGAATTCCGGTCACCCAGGTAGCTCACTCGAACCATTTCGTAGCTTCTTACACTTCTGGCCAGAACGCTACCTGCTAGCATGCTAGCTAACATGACTAACAAAAGAACCAGCAACGTGGCAAGTGCCCGCTTAAATCCGAACAGCGGCCTGTCGGCTACGTGTTTGAATGATGTTTTCATTATGATGACTGGCTGTCCAACGCCCAGTTCCGAAGATACCGAAATTTGGTAAGTTCCAACAGTTTCTAAAAATCAGTTGAGCGAGAGGGGGTTCAAGACCAGCCAGGGTTCTGAATGTTGCACATAACTCAGCATGGTTAGGCGGCTGCTTCTAGAAACGGTATCAAATTGGCTAAAAGGATAAAACTTCGTACATATCAATCCTTTTGGGATGCGGCGAGCCCTACTCTACTTCCTTTCAGAATCGCACTGACTTATTGAATGCAGTATGGCCCATACAATGGCTCATGGGGACCAGCCCGATGCCCAGATTTATGTACGTCCGAGATAGGGAGGTGGTTTGATTTGTCCGCGAGCGAGTCCAGGATTTGGTCCTTTAGTCGTGCGCGTGCCAAAACGGTGCGCATTTACATCGAGCGGCTACATCCGCGCTTCTTCGAGTTTTCAAACCTGACTAGGACATATCTCGAGGCTTGAAACGTGCAATCCCTACATCTTTCATGCTAACACATGAAGCGCAAAAAATTTATTTTTTGAGATCTTAATCGATACATTTTATTGTAAGTCTTTTGAATATGCGTCGAAAGTACTAGACAATTAAGTGTTCAGTAATAAAACGAGTAATTAATTCCTAATCTGTCTTCTCTCAAAGAATAGAAATTACGATGAGCTAATTCTCACCCATCCATCTAATTCAAAATAGATTCGTGTCCCGACACGAAATCTTGAATTTGCTGAGTACGGTATCGATGACGGAACGAGTTGTGCAGTGAGTGGAAAGACGAATCGTTTTATAGTCAGTACATGCCTTCACATTACTCGTATGAACCCGAAGAGTTCCCTGAAAATCAGACGGAAATATCGACTGGTTGCGAACCACAAGCTCTTCTGGTTTCTGCGCGCTCCTTAAGTGGTGAATACACGTCTAGATTCGAATAATCCCCAGACATTTGCATATCTTGCTCTTTTAGTTGCAGGACTGATAGATGAGGACTTCTGCGGAGGCAGCACGTATGATTCATATCCCAAAGATGGGAGCGGGGCGTGGCTGCGTACTTCACACGAATGTAGCGCAGGGAATGCGTTTGTCCGAGGCGAATTTCCCATTGAGAGCAACTGTAATCTGTCCATACAACTGACCACGACATGATTAATATGTTAGCCCGAAACGGCGAAATCTACCACAAGAGAGACGGCGCCTCCTCGTTTTAAGTGAGTTCGCAGCACGCCATTCCATTTCTGTGATACTGGGTTTTAGAATCGACAGTTTGGGTTCTTCCATTAGGTTGTAGTTCTGTTACTGCAGAACTTTTTGGTCCACCGTAATGCCTATGCTCGCAAATTATTAGCGTTACGCTGTTTTTGGGCGCCTTGGAAAGGAGGGAAAGCTCTGCAGGCCTCTGTGAACGAACCTTTGATCTGAGAGCTGGTCGGGAAAGCCTATGCCTTGGTTTAGGAGGAGGGGCACTAGAACGACTTTTGACTGCGCCCTCAACGCGTTTAAGCCAAATTTTTAAGCCACTTCCCCAGTCGCGTCGATTCGCACTGTGCACTGGAGTTCCAACGAAAGCCAAGAGTTGCTTCGAAACTGGTCAGTGTCGTGTCGTGGTGGAGACGAACGGACTACCGTACCCGACGGTCTACTGCTGGCCCTGACTTTGGTAATTATCAAGCATTCTGGAAAAACTGTTTATGGAAGCTATCGTAAGTAACCAAATGGGCGAAGAAACGACGCGACTAATCGCGGAGACAGAGGATCAGGCGAAGCGCATTCACTACTCAAACAAACTTATGAAGACATGACAGAATCTTCAGAGAGGCACGAAACAGAAGAAATAATCGAAAATTCGGTATTTGAATAAGAGTTGGCTCTAGGCAGCTGGCAGGGCCAGCTGGGCAGGCAGGAATAGAACAACCAAGAACATGGCGACCTGCTCCAGTGAGCACGGCAGCAAAAAAAAAACAAAGAATTCAGGTTGATAGAAAAAAAGAGAAGAAATGAACCCAGGTTTAACAGCCCAGCTTCAAACCCTAACGGGGTGTTAGACTGAAGGACTTTTTGTTGTCGATTTTTCCCATTTCAAGCAGCAAAACTTGAGAGCATGCCGGCTCAGATACTGAATAATTGCCCCCTTGGGGATTATGTGCCCTGGCTGCAGAGTGCCAAACGTGTGGCATCCTATGAAAACGAGAGTTTCGAAGGAACAGCTGTTAATAACACGGAATTGGATTCGGCTTACTCCAGTAATAGGCAGTAAATATAAAGAAGGCAGAATAGGAAACTAAACGGTCAAAAAAAATTTTAGGGTGCGGAACAAGGGAACTGTGCCAAGAGAACGCCCGGAAGTTATGTGGCTAAAAACCATCTCTGCACATGAGCCGCTCTGGAATGGGAAAAATTTTTTGAAAAGAAAGCTGGAATAGCAGGAATTTTCCAAACAAAAAGCTTTGAATGAAATCCAGAGAAACCGACTTGAAACTGGAAAATCATTCAAGTGAAACATTTCAATCGAAAAGGAGCCGAACAAAGGGGCAGATTGAGAAGAAATGAATCTCATAGAAAAACGGATCATGACTGGAAAATCACGGATCCACTTCGAAGAATGTCTCAAAAGGAGGCGAAAAATAAATGCGGGCGCAGTTCGACTTGGGTGGGAGGGGGGCAGGGGTGGGGAACTTCGTGCCTTCCTATTACCGTACCGAGCTATCAAGTAGAGATTTCTGAGATCTCCTGAAGACATGAGGTGATTTCCAGTCAAAGTTTGAGAGACTACTTGTCAACTCTTGTGAAGAATACCTGTTAACTCTTGTAAAGCAATGAGATAAGGAAGGTAGGAAAGTGCAAAATCGCCCCTCCCCCAAGCCGAACGCCATAAATGAAAAATACAGCAGCGCATCAAAAGCTATTAATAGGTGTGAAATATGGGTGAAAGATGGACTGAATTGAGCCATAAAAGTATTAATTATGTGAAGTATGGGTGAATAATGGACTAATGATTTGAAATAGGAGCGGATTACGGCTGAAAATTGGTTCGAATACGCGTCGAGAGAAACTCAAAACATGAAGGGAATTCGAAGTGAGAGAAAGGCGTTTCAAACAGGAACGCCTTGTAAGAGAAGCACTTGATTTTCCGCTTGTAAACACCTGAATGGTGCAATGGAAGCCCTCCATCACTGGTGCTTTTTTCGCAGAATGTGACGGCGATCGTCATAAAATCGGCGCTTATCGTACAGCTATTGCGCTGTAAACGAGATTTTAACGACAAAAATCTCACATTCTTATCAAAAACAGCTGAAAATGAATTTTACGGCTTTATGTGAATAAATTGTTCGCTTACGACCTTGGGAGAGGATGGTTGAATCAAACAGAAAGAAAACAAAATGATTCAAGAGATGGAAGCTTGGAAGAAACATTACCTTACTTCTCCCATCTACGTTTCCTAAAGGCAGTTGGTGCAACGGCTGGGGAAAAGAGGGGGGGGGGTGGGGGGCGGGCGGCTGCTGCCTAGGTTATTGGTGGAAGGACTGAATAGGGTGTGGATAAAGGCCCTCTCGCAGCCCTCACTTTGGCAGCAACCGCCCGCCCACAGCCGTCGTGCCTGCCTCCGAAAGATTCCACATAGGGAATCAAGAACTTCAACGTTTTTCATGAGGATTTTCTCTCGATGAGGAAAGAAAGGGCGCTGTTTTTCAGGAACTCAAAAACTCAAAAAAGGTTACACTTTCTTGAAACAATTTCTTAAAGGCTTTATAATGCCGACCGTATGAATGAGAGAGTCATGTAACAGCTAATAAGCCTTTCGAGGTAAACTAGTCGTATTAAAGGTGATGGCAAAGTTTGGCGACGGGGGGGGGTGGCATTTTGCATTTACCCTGATCCAGGTTGTTGTGTCAATCGATAGTTAACGATAGTTAACTGGTTCTCCTTACAAGTTCACAAATAGTTCCTAGAAACGTTGACTTTTATCACTTGGCTTCACAATATTCCACAAATCATGGCTGGGCTGGACATGACAATGGGGAGCAGCAAAAGGGCAAATCGCCATCCCCCCCTGTCGCCAAACTGCTCCAGAATGAGCCTGGCAGCACACTAGTGGTGCGTGTCGAAACCCAGTGCACAGCGAAAATCCAAGTGCCAGATGACCTGACCGGTAGGCTTGCGACGCTGCCCCTGCGGAGTAGTAAGACTCCAGCGAAGAAACAAGAGGGACCTGAGTCTGAGAAGCAGAGTTAGGCCCCCTTAGAAGAATGTAGGAAGAGGAAAGTGGAGATGGATTTATATGTGTCGACAGAAAAATCATCAAATCAGTGAGATTCATGAGAATTGAAAAACTAACATCTTGAAGAAAAACAAACACATTTCACTTGAAGATCGGAAAACAAAAGTGCCTTGATTATGATAACTGCTGTTTCACGCCTGTTAGTTCGCGTTCTATACTCATCACAAGAATGTTGAGTTGAGGGCAAAAGTCGTAGCCTCAGGCAGGGTTCGAATTCGCACCCAACATTTTCCAGTCGAGTGCGGTATTCGTAACGCCACTGAGGCCGCCTCTTGACCTCTAAGCTTGGTTTTGACTCGGCATTCTTGGAAAAACGGAACATCAAGAAAATTGAGTGAATCAAGGAGAGGAGATCATATGGGGGGAGAACGACTTAAACTCTCAAGGGTTAGAGAATAACTGGAAACTATTCGCTGGTATGAGGTAATTTCTAGCCAAAAAACAAAACAGTTGCATAAAGGGAGGATGAAGCAACTGACGTTGATGATCTTGCTTCTGAGATGCGCCATGCATTCTATGTCCACTCCCAAATATGGTGGCTTTTCTGAATGCGATCTTGCCGCTGCAATGACTTGTGAGCCCACATACAAGTACCTTGATTCTCCCAGATGTGTGGGATACCTTCAATTGAGGGATACAAGGTTTGAATGTCTGGGCGGGACCTGATCCAAAGCTTGATCCCAACCTTGCGCGTAGTCTGTGACGTTGCTTGCCACTACATCATCCATATAAGACCTGGCCGATTCAACACCGCTTCGTTTCCAGAAAAGCTCAGAACTGCAGCCTTGCTCGCTGTCGATCGACAGGACGCTGGGATTGGCGCGGCGCCAGGACGTCCTCCACTAGTTGAAGAGGGCAAGCGACAACAATTTGTGGAGAATCCCAAACCCATTCTCCTGCCAGGCTCTAGTATCTGCAGCGAGCAAGACCATGCCATTTACCTACTATATTTGGACTACAATCAAAGGAGCGATGAGACAGTCAGTGGAAAAACTGAGCCG